TTTGCCTTTCCCTTCCTGAGGCAACGCGGGACTGGAGCCACGCAGAGCCGCGCCAGCGGTAGCAACTCCTGACTCGGGGCCTCCGAGGGGAGGGGAAGGAGGAGAAGAAGTGGGGGGAAAGGGGGGGTGATTCCCAAAAAATCGGAATTCCAATTTTAATTGGAAGAATATCATGTCTGACCAGGGGTGGGATTCTACTGGTTCAGACCGGTTCAGGCGAACTGGATGTTAAGTTTTCATCTGGTCTGCTGAACCGGTATTTCAACCGACTGGCTGGCCCTGCCCACCCCGCCCCTCCCCTTCCAGAAGTCTCCACGCAATGCAGGTAAGTGCAGGGTCTATGCAGAGGCTCTGGGAGGGGGAAAAACGGGCTTTCCAGAAGTCCGGAAACAGGTCTGTTTCTGGCTTCTGGTGGGCCTCCAGAGCCCGGGGGAGGCCGTTTTCGCCCTCACAGAGGCCTGGGGGAAGCCTCTGGACCCTTGGGAAAGCAAAAAACGGCCCTCCTGGAAGTTCCAGTAGGCCACACCCACCACGGCCACACCCATCAGCAACCGGGCAGCGAACCGTTTGCTGGGATTTTTCAATCCCAGCCCTGTCCTTCCCATAAGAATCCTTCCCTCTAATCACTTTATTTAAAACTATTTTAATACTTCATTTTTGTCTCTTCTTGGAAAGGAAACACTTCTGCATGAAATTCTCAGCAGAAACTTGAACATTAGACCTTTTCCTTTCTCTTCTGATAAACAGCCAAAAAAATAATAATCCTAATTTCTACTGATAGTTCTGATTCACTGAGCAGATTTTTAACAAAGAACTGCCAAAGGCAGAAATGGCAGACATTGCCACACTGTGAGGTTTTTCTGCTTTCTTAATTTCCAATTAAAGAGACAGATTTTCTAAAAACCTACACACTCCATTTTGGTCTGTTGGTCTGTTATATTCTAATTCATTTCAACACTCAATTTTTTCTGCATTAGCATTATTTTAACCCAATTGTCTTGAGGTTTTCAGAGAATCACTTTTTCCCCTACACAGTGTATTCATATTTTACCCAAAGCATCTTTATTAGAAAGATTGGCAAAAGTTCCAAGCAATTTTGGGCTGTCCTGTGCTTTAAGCAACCTGCATATTCAGACATGTATTAACATTTATTACTACTGGATTTTCTTTCAATAAAATATGAGGCTATTGGGATGTCAATACATATCTGTGAAGTACTGTATATACTGAGGACAGACTAACCTGTATGCAACCAAATCATTAGGCTATGGAATAGCTAGCAAGCAAGCCAGCCTATATTTTAGCCATGTCAAGGAAGTAATTTCTTCAGTTATTTTTTAAGAAAAAAATTATAATACTACAATCTGATTTCTAATCTCATAATTTGTGTAGAAAGATGGTTGTCAACGAGATGCATCTGCACCTCAAGCCATTTCGGGGACATGTCACTTGAAATGCAATGATATTTTAATTGTAGCAAACCACTATCAAATAATGCGCCTTAAGTGCTACATGTAGTTGTATAATAGATATTCCAAACATGGAATGTCCATTTGTAGTTAACTTACAATTAATTTTAAAACACAGTTCACTTCAAATTTCTGAAAATCCATACATAGAAGCTGATCCAATGAGCCTCAGACAGTAACCATTACAAGTTGCTTTCTTCCAGAATAGTTCAGTACTATTCCTTAGTATTACTCTTTTCAACGTTTCCCTGAAAATAAGGTCTATCCTGAAAATAAGCCCTAGCTTGATTTTTTACACGTGCACCTAATATAAGGCCTACTCCAAAAATGAGCCCTAGTTAAGACCTCTCCTACTCTGCCCCACCATCTGGTTGTACAAGGTGGGGTGAGGCGCATGCGTAAAAATCAAGCTAGGGTGGGGGTGGGGTGATGGAGCTACCCCATGCACCCTGCTTACCTTAGGACCGCTGCAGCCAGGCCTCCCATGCCTCGACACCTGTTGCACCGCTGCCCAACTTCTGTAGCTGCTCGTGGCTGGATACCACATGGCACATCGCACCACTGCCACCGCTCGTGGCAGGCCACATGGCTCAGCAGTGCTGTCACAGCAGTGCTGCCGCTTGCAGAACGCCACGTGCTGCGTTGTGCCAGTGCTGCAGCTTGTGCCAGGAAGCCATATGGCGTGTTGCACCAGTGCTGCCACTCGCATGCGCAATGTCACAATGCAACACGTGGCTTCCTGCCACAAGTGGCAGCAGTGGTGCAACGAATCACGTGGTGTCCTGTTGCAAGCGGTGGCAGTAGTAGTCAGGCAGCGGTGTGACAGGTGTTGAGGCGTGGGAGGCCTGGCTGTGGTGGTCCGAAGGTAAGCAGGTAAGACTTCCCCCGAAAATAAGACCTTTGTCAACTCATAAAACATTTCTATTTTTGAAGCTTGGCTCAAAGGTCATGATTTAATCAGGGCCACTGCTGGAATCCTGACAGCCTGGTCATATTTTGGGACCCAAAAGAAAATAACCCCGGTCTTATTTTGGGGGAAACATGGTATTCATATCAAGTTACTGTGTGCACCAAGAAAAGTCAGATATATAGTATTGTCCCATTAGATGTCTTAGAGAAGAGACAGATTCCTTACCTTAAAACTGAACACAAACTTCCCGCCTTTATAGAATCCCTGTAAGGCAAGCATTGGACAATTTAAGCAAGTATAGCTCCAAACAGAAGAAAACTACTCTCAGAAAGATAAGTTGTTGGAAAATGGGAGGTGGGCAGCATTAAAGTTACAACAAAGTAATTCACTTTCCAATCCATCAACACAATCCTTCAACTTCCCCACGTTTGTCACTTAAGCATACATCTACATCACACTCCCAAATTCTGGAAATACAGTCAGCTACCCAACCTAGAATAAGCTTAAAAGATACAGAAGATGGGAAATTCTTAGCTGCTGGGTGCGTCTGTGCAAGCAAAGAAGCAAAAATGGTAGCAGACAGACAGGACATCATACACAAAAGAGCACAGACTCTTTATCTGCTAATGTTTGGACTTCCAAGTATCTGTGATAACCAGAAACCTTGTCTAAAAAAGTAAACAAAGAAAAAACCCTGGGTATTTGGATCAGGCAAAGCTAGAAAGTTTCCATTGTGAGCCTTGAATGGGATTGCGCTTCAATATTCTGGACTGGAGAGCAATTTGGGAGGGTTTCCTCCCAAGGAAAGCTGTCACACAGATCCATCTTGTGTACATTTTGGACTGAGAAGTCCTCCAGACAATTATTCATGTTTGGATATTTCATGTGGATGTACAAAATGTGCTCAACATGAGTTTGCTCTTGAAGACTACTCAATTTTGGACATGCCATAGGGTGCCCATATAACACCTCAGTTCTGTGGGCTGCACTGGACACCAGTGGGCTTCCAGATGTTATTCAGGTGTATAGGGCCTACCTATCTAAAGAATAACCCTATAGTGTCTGCAGTTCTGTTTGAGCTGAAAAAGTTGGCATGCTTCAGGTCCCATTGATTAAACAATGTCATCTGATGGGAACCAGGAAGGGCACCTTCTGTGTTGTAGCACCTACCTTCTGGCACAGCATCATCCTGGAAATTCATGTTCCTCTTACCCTGGTGTCAGGGGTCCGACAAGTTGACACCTGGTCTCATTCAAATGAGCCCAGAGCCCTGGTTGCACAATGGAAGAACCCTGGTGGCTCAGTGGCGAAATGGGACACTTTGGCACAGCCAGATCGCCATTGCTGAGTTGCCTCTACCAACTCAGCGCTGCCAACTCGCTGCAGGGACAACTCACCGCAGATGGCTGGAGGGAGAGCTGGGTGGGGAAGTGGGTGGGCAGAGTGCAGGGCAGCGGCTTCCCATTTTCACACCCCTCGCTGCTGAGTGGCTTCAGGATGAAGAGGACGGGGATGGCGGTGGTGGCAGGGAAAGCGGCAGCAACGATGGACAGGGTGGGTGATGGGGGCTTTCCATTTTCACACCACTGCCACCACTGCTGCCATGCCCCAAGCCGAAGAGGTAGGCAGGGCAGGGTAGCCCCATTTTCACAACCCTCACTGCTGCAGTGAGCTCTGGACCGAAAAGGCCGGGGACAGCGGGGCCGGTGGTGTGTGTGTGAAAATGGGATGGCCCTGGCCACTGCCACCTCCCTGCTTCCCTCCCCGCCCACCACCACCACTGCTGTCCCTGGCCTCTTCGGCTCAGAGCTTGGCTGTAGTGGGTGTGAAAATGGAAAGCTCCAGGTTGCTGCCACTGCTCTGCCCACTCACTCTCTTGCCTGACCCACTTTCCCTCCAGCCACCCACCGTGAGTTGTCCTGCAGCGGCTTGGCAGCAGTGAGCTGGGCATGCTGAGTTGTCCTATACCTGTGCAGTGGTTAGAATGCAGTATTGCAGGCTAATACTGCCCACATTCTGGAGTTTGATCCTGACAGGGCTTGAGGTTGACTCAGTCTTCCATCTTTCCGAGGTTGGTAAAATGAGGACCCAGATGGTTGGGGGCAAGATGCTAACACTGTAATCTGCTCAGAGCGTACTGTAAAGCACTATAGACAGGTATATAAGTCTATTCCTATTGCTATCACTAGCCAATAAAGCCAGGCTCTGCCCCAAGGCCTTGCATTATGTTGAGTGTCAAGTCCCTTAGGGATATGCGGTATGGTTGAGAAGGGGTTGGTTTTATTTTCTCAGGATATTTACTATTTTTGTTCTATTGTTGTTAATTTGTTTTTAATATTGTACTCTTCCCAGAGTCATCACTGATTCAGGCAGCTTTACAAATGAGATAAATATTTCAAGTTTCTAAATTTTACATATGCAGCATGATCACTAAAAGCAAAACAATGAACTGGTGACTCATCAGCTCAATCTGAATGTACACAAGCCACTGTAAGGCAACTTTCCTCCTACAATATTCAAACAACATGAATCACAATTGCAATTTGCAGACCTTTTTGTCTCTTGCCTTGAATAAACAAAATAGCAAAAGCCACTTTATAATGAACATATGCCAACAGGTTTATGATTCATGTTACCAAGTGGTAACTGCGAATAGTCTGCTGAGCTTGATTAACCTACTACTATAAGTTCCTAGATAATATAGGAAATAATGTCAGATTCAGTGTCAACTTCAAACCAAACCTGGCAAAAGCCGTTTTCTTGGTTCTCAGTTGCCACACTGGGGGAGGGGGGGGGCAGGGAATGAAGAAGGGGAGTACCTAAGAAACCCGCCAATTAACCTAATTGGACAATGTGACTGGTGACACTATTTACTATTTTAATTATGCTGAAACCGCAAGGAATATTTAGAATTGGTTTTACAATTGATCGTGCTGATATGATGTACCCAATAAAGAAGTTCTTTGAGGAAGATTCTAGTCTCAGAGTTCTGATTTGCTTGGGTTCGTTAGTTGGAGCCATGACATTTAACCAACTATCTTAAAATTTTGCTCTGAAAAAAGGGCAACCCTCCAGGGTCTTGAGCCCCAGATGCCTACCTGGTCAGGTCGGGAGGACAGAGAAGACTCAGGGAAGATTCCGAGATGGAGAAGAAAGGGGAGGCTGCTGCCAAACCTAGAACAGCCCCAGCTGATGGAGTGCAGCCAGCTGGCCAAGCGTTGGTCAGTGGGCAGATTCGAGGATGAGTCCTGCAAACTGAGGCAGAGATCTGAGACTTGAAGCAGAAGGGCCGGCCAGCGAAAGAATACATCCAGGAGTTCTGCAGGGTCACTGGCAAGCTGAGGCAGTGGCCGGAGCAGCTACTGGTCTACCACTTCAAGGAGAGCCTGGACTGAGAACTGCTCCAGGCCTGCATCTACCAGGGAATCCCCGAATGAATCCATGAATGGTACTGGGCAGCCATAGTGCTAGTGCTAAAGCAGTGTAGGAAGAACGACACTCCAAAGCCAAAACTGAAGTGGAGCAAGAAGAGGCGCCTGTCAACTCATATTTCTATGGTCTTTTTAGAGTTGCCAACAGAAAGGGAGGGAGGAAAGGGGTTTGAAAGTGCAGCAGCTTGGAAAGCGAAAGTGCATTCCATAGTTTTTCAAAGATAGTAACTAGGTGGCTGACGTTTCTGCCATGGGAGAAACATTAGTGATGACTCTTGGCTATGGATGTGTCTCATTGGAGAATATGAATTATGATACACCCAGGGGGTGGGGGAAAACCAGGGTCAAGGGTGACAATGAATTATGTGTCTCAGAGTCAGCTACACCCAGGCAGTGCTGGACATGTTAACTCCCAATAAATCCTTTTGAAGTTTTGGAAGTTTGGCTTGAGACTCATAATTTAATTGGGGTAACTGCCAAAATCCTGACAGTGCCAGTCCGGACTGCGGCCTGCCACAACTATGTCCACTAGCTCTCCCACCACCTCAACTAGGGGTCCCACCAAATGCTTCCAATGAGGCCAGCAGGGTCATCAAGCAGCCAAATGCCTAGTACCCGCCCCCCAGCCAAGGAGCAAGCCACCCGCCTTGATAAAGCCAAAAAAGCTACAGTGGAAGGGAAAGCAGAAGTTTGGCACGCCAGGCCCTTGCAGTCTCTCCTCCATCAAACGAGGGAGAGGGACCTCCAACCAAAGGGGACCAGCAACCTAACCCCTACAACAGCGAGGATGAGGGTGAAAGCAACCCGATGGTAAGTGAAGCCATCTGTCCCTTCGCCATCCCCATGAGAATTGTGGTGCCAAAGTCAGGAGTCTGGGGAGACGTGGATGGCCTAATAGACTCAGTGTCAGACTCCCATCCATCTTGAATCAGATTTGGGGCTGCCACAAGGGAGGATGGGTGACCGTGGGAATGAAAGTAAAGAGAGAAGAGAGGATAGCTACAACAACATTCTTTCGCCAGAGCTCAAGACCAAGTCGCTGGAGTTTGGTGGGGAGTGACTGGACTTGGCGGGAGTTGGATTGGAGAGTGTGACTTGAGGGTCATCAGTAAGGGACTGTGCCACTGAATTCATCCCCGGGGCAAAACTGCCCAAATCAAAGATGTACTCTGTTAGGGATAACATTGTTTACCCTAACTGTTTTGGGTAAAGATAATAAAATGATGAATCATGGTTTGTCAGATAAAGTGTATGTGACTTTAAGCTAAAGGAATGTAATTAAGGGTGCAGCTGTAAAAGTACTATATAAGCAGCAAGGCACTCTCTGGCTCTTACTGGCTGGCTTATTGAAGACTGCATTCTTGCTGGATCGGGGAGGAGAAGAAGTGTTGGATTACTTTGAAGATATTTCTCAACGGAGAGAAGATAAGTTTTGGACAGATTTATTATATGTGTACTGACACTGGCTATTCGACACGGACTTTGCAATTAGAGTATCCTCGACAAGACTTGACTGAATTTGGTATATGACTAATGGACTGTTTATTTTGACTATGCTATAATTCTTAAATGGAATAAACTATAATTTTGATAGCACAAGCGTATCTGTATTTTTACTGCGTGTTAACTAGAAAACTTATCTCACACATTTACCTGTCTTCCTATCTGACTTCGCTGCACGTTCTGTTTGGTTTGTTTTCCTTAACACCCATTGGGGAATCCAGGCTTAACATACTCAATGTCCCCAAGGGAGATGGATGAACTGAGAAAATACATGGACTCCAATTTAGCCAGAGGGTTCATCCAACCAGCAAATTCACGAGTCGCTGCCCT